TGGAGAGCAATTTTGATCTGTTTTTTTCATTGACATATCTACAATGTCTCAACAGCACCTGGCACAAAACAAGACAGACAAGGGGCCGGCCCGTGGCTCACTTGGGAGAGCGAGGTGCTGACAACACCAAGTCAAGGGTTAAGATCCCCTTACTGATCATCTTTAAAAAAAAAAAAAAATCAAGGCTGGCTGGTTAGCTCAATCGGAAGAGCGTGGTGCTGGTAACACCAAGGTCAAGAGTTCGGATCCCTGTACTGGCCAGCTGCCCCTCTACCCCAAAACAAACAAACACAATAACTTCCCTTAAAGCTATGGTTCTATGACCTGGACACTGACTAACCACTTTAGAATATTACTAGAAAAGTGGCCTCCGTGGAAATCTCAGCAGATGATGGGCTGTCAACTCAGAGAAGCTGTGATGGTTAGTTTTAAGCATCAGCTTGGCTTACATCTAGAACCTAGTTATTCAGTTTTTTATACACTAACCTAGGTGTTGCTGTGAAGGTATTTTGTAGATTTGGTTAGGTTAACATCTACAATTAGTTGACTTTAAGTACGGGAGGTGATACTTGATAACATGAGTGGGCCTCATCCAATCAGTTAAGAGACTTTAAAAGCAGGAAGGCCTTAAAATCAAACACGAAGTTTTCCTGAAGAAGAAGCATTGGCTCCTGACCAAGAGTTTCCAGCCTGGCCTGCGCAACAGATTTCAGAGTTGTCTAGCCAGCCCCCACAACTGTGTAAGACAATTTCTTGAAATAAATCTCTTAATACACACGTATGCTACCGGTTCTGTCTCTTTGGTAAAACCTTGACTGATACAGGAACTGAGCTGGTGAGTCTGGGGTCAGTTGTCCCAGTTTAAACCCCAGATCCACTATTTCCCTATTTGCTGCCTGTGTCATCTTGCACAATTAGCTTGATCTCTTGTAGCGTTAGGTCTGTCCTCCATAAGACAGGGAGAAGAGTAGATTTTACCTCCTGGTGTTGCTATGTGGATGAAATTGAGAGGGGCGAGGACATGAACATTATAATAAATAACAGCGAACACTGACATGGCCAAGCCTGTTCCAAGCACTCGATGTGTATTAATTAACTCATTTAATTGCCACAACAACCCTGTGAGGCTGGACTATCATTATACCCATTTTACAGGTGGGGAAACCAAGGCTCTGAGAGGTCATGTGACTTGCTCAAGGTCACCCAGTGAGTAAAATTCTGAAGTGTTTAGTACATTGAGTACTTATGGTAAATGCTCAGTTAAGACCTAAATGTCCTCCAGTGGGTGCATGGATAAATGAATGGTGACCCATCCACACAATAGAAGACTATTCAGCCATAAAAAGGAACAGAGCTACTGATGCAGGAAACAATGCAGACAAACCTCAAATGCATTGTTAGTGAAAGAAGCCAGACTCAAAAGGCTGTGTAATTCCATTCTGTATTACCTTCTGGAAAAGGCGAAAGCATTGGGACAGAAAACAGATCAGAGGTTGCCAGAAGCTGGGATCTGTTACAAATGGGGTGCAGAGGACTATTTTGGGATAATTGAAATGTTCTATATCTTGATTGCAGTGGTGGTTACATGGCTATATATGTTCACAACTGTATGCTAAAAAGGGTGAGTTTTACTGTATGTAAATTATACTCAAAAAAGAAAGCAAAGCAAAGAAAAAAACAAACAGCCCAGGCAAGACAGGATAGGACTTGGGAAACCTTTCTCAGGGGCTCCTGACACAGCAGAAAGTTGCTAACCCGCCCTGGCTTGTCTAGTCTTGGCTTGTCTTCCCCCCGCTGAACCATCTCAATCACACACCCAAAAACAAGCCAAGCCAGGTTCCAGGAAAATCAAGATCCTATCTTACCTGCATGTGCAAAATACAAAAGGAGCTTGTGGGAAAGACAATACCAGACACATCAGATCTTTGATATCCAAATGACCTCGGGTTCCCCCAAACTCAATGTCCGAGGAGGCCTGGATCACCCTTCAAAGCTGCCACAACTCAAGACCTCTCAGTAGTTTCCCCCTTGGAAATTGCTTTTCATAAAGGAGCTTGTTACAATCGGCTCAGCAAACACGAAATAGATCAGCAAACACCAGTCACCATTATGAATCAGCCACTGTGCTGGGGATGTGAGCACGCAAGCAGGATCTAGCAGGATCTGCAGACAGGCACTGCCAGGGCCACGGTGTCATCAGTGGCTTGAACAAAGTAGCCAGTCTTCATTTTGAGGGTGGATTTGATTTCTGCTGACAGCCTGGTTACTGCAAGCCAGATGAGGCAAACAAGGGGTTTCTTGAGCTTGCAACACCCGTCAAAAACAAAGAGGAATTCTACTCTTGAGACTGGATTCAGCCTTTCTTTGAGAAGGGGGAGGATATGGGTTGTATGCCCGGGCTGGCACATAGCATAATAGGTGCACAGCGATGGTTTGGTGCCTGTTGAGTGAGTGTGGGTCTTATAAAAGCAGTCTCAGGACTGGCTAGTTAGCTCAGTTGTTTAGGGTGTGGTGCTGATAACACCAAGGTCAAGGGTTCAGACCCTTGTACCAGCCAGCCACCAAAAAAAAAGGAAAACAAAACAATCTCAAAAGTGACTCCTCGGGCCGAGCCCGTGGTGTACTCGGGAGAGTGCGGTGCTGATAACACCAAGGTCAAGGGTTCAGACCCTTGTACCAGCCAGCCACCAAAAAAAAAGGAAAACAAAACAATCTCAAAAGTGACTCCTCGGGCCGAGCCCGTGGTGTACTCGGGAGAGTGCGGCGCTGGGAGCACAGCAGTGCTCCCGCCGCGGGTTCGGATCCTATATAGGGAAGGCTGGTGCACTCACTGGCTGAGCGCAGTTTGGCTGGTCTCAAAAAAAAAAAAAAAAAAGTGACTCCTCAAATTCCAGAATGTTCTGAGTTTGTGGAAATGTGTGTGGAATCTCTTCAAAATGACATCTATTTGGACACCAATAATGCCTTACCTCTCCAGTGATACAGCAGACTCACGGCAGGTTTGGCAAAGAAGCAAAATGTGACTAGGTTTTGGGGTTCAACCCTGCCCCCTCAGCCCCTCACAATTAGACACTCAATTAACTCAACTTGGGAAGATGATAACTTTCAGCCTCCGAGTAACTACTTCCCCGTCATCACCCCAAGAGGGGCAGGAAATGAGGCCTTTTGGGACACAAAGCACCTCAAGATATCATGGGCCCCACAACTGCCAACAGAAAAAGATCTTTACCTTTGAAAGCACAGTTATAAAACACCTTTATGTTGTCACTTGTTTTGTCTAGGTAGCCCCAGTGAAAAAGATAATTAGTTTCTGAGGATGACAGCCTTGGCTTCCTTTCCTCGGAGACAGGGACCCCCAAAGGCTACAGCTTCAGAAGTTTCCAGAGCTGAATGTGGATGACAAAGTTCCAAGCCCTGATTCACCTTTGCCTTCCCCTGCTCCCCTGTGAATCAGAGCTCTACCTTTAAGGACTTCTCATCTTGTGTCTGATGCCAGTTCTCTGAATTCCTGAGAGTTCAGCGGTTGATGAAACTTCAGGGGGTAGGATCTGGAAGCAGGAGAAAGGGGAGAAGGTGGTTTGCCAGGTACTGCGTACTCCTTAGCTTGTCCTGAAGTCTTCAGTGTTTGTGTGCACGTGTCTGTCTGTGTGTGTGCGTGCATGTGTGTGTTGGCTCCCACCTTCCCCAGCCAGCTCATGCCAGAACAATCAAGGCAGCAATAACATACATATATACATTTATTTATTTATTTATTTCTTCATTCATTCAATTTATTTATTTAAGATGACCAGTAAGGGGATCTCAACCCTTGCCTTTGTGGTGTCAGCACCACGCTGTCCCAAGTGAGCCAACCGGCCATCCCTATATAGGATCCGAACCCGTGGCCTTGGTGTTATCAGCACCGCAGTCTCCTGAGTGAGCCACGGGCTGGCCCTAGGCTCCACATTTAAACTACCATGACAGGATTTCCCACCCTCTTAACAGTCACAGTGGGGGCCAAGCTTCCAATACACAAAACCTGGGAGACAATTCAAACTTCAATAGTTTTGGGGGGACATGATTCAATCCACCACAATAACCATTTCAATGTGTAATCAACATAAAGAATTATGAATGAGATATTTTTTACATTCACTTTTCTGCACTAAGTCTTTGAAACCGGTGTGTGTTTTTTTTTAAAAGATGACCGGTAAGGGGATCTTAAATCCTGAATTGCTGTTGTCAGCACCACACTCACCCAGTGAGCCAACCGGCCATCCCTATATGGGATCCGAATCCGTGGCCTTGGTGTTATCAGCACCACACGGGCTGGCCCAAAACCGCTGTGTTTTATAGCCCATCCCAATTTGGACCAGCCACATGTCAGGGGCTGGATAGCCACAGGCATCAGTAGTGACCATACTGGATAGTGCAGGTAGAGACAAATGTGAGCCCCCTGCCCAGAGGGTCAAGTTCGGTGGGGCGGGGCCTGTCATCGAAAAGGGCAGTGAAGACACACCCAGAATGTGACTGAGGCTCAGGCTGCAGACTGGGGGTCCCAGGGAGCTTCTCGCCACCCCATTTCCCTTTTCTTTCCCTCCCACTCATGACAGATGGAGTCCCCTAGGCGGAGCGGCCTCCGCCATCCAGGCGCCCCAGGCCGCGCCCCAAGCCCCTAACCCTCTCCGGTTGCTCCCGGATACCCTGGGGGCCGCCCACCTAGGAATTCACCCAGCTGCGCAGCCAGCCATGTGGACACCGCCTTCCCTGTCCCTCAACTTCTTGTTCCCGCCTCCTGCCTTGCAGTAACCGTCGCTTCCCTTGGTTTCCACAGCGACGCCATCAAGGGGTGGGGCAAAGGGGCGTGCCGCGCCGAAGCCCCCTTTTGATTGGTGGGTGGCCAAACCCCTTCTTTTCACCACTGCTGTTCGTGCTCCGCCCCTTGATGGGCCCCGCAAGCTGATTGGCTAGCCTAGAGGTGGTAGCAGCGAGTCCTGGCTCAGACCGGCCCCGTGGGGCGGGGACGATGGTGGGCGCCCCGTGCGCTGATTGGCCGGCGGGGCGCGCGCCCTACTGAGAGGCGAGGCGGACGCAGAGCCGTGGTTGGTCTGGCTGGGCGGTCGCAAGCGCGAGGCGACCCGTGGGGTGTCGCGCGCAGTTAAGCAGCAGCAGCAGCAGGAGCAGTAGCCGCCGTGTGAGGGAGCCATGAAGCACTATGAGGTAAGAAGCAGGGAAACGGGGACTGGGTGGCCACCGCAGACCCATTTTTTAAAATTCACTGGACCACGGGACCCCCGCCTCTTTTCTCGTCCCGTTCCCCGAACGAAGGGCCGGTCGGCGCAGGCGCAGTGGGCGCGCGTTGCGCTCCCGGGGCCACTTGTAAATCCCAGTGCGCATGTGTGGGGGAGGTATTTATAAATCTGCAACCCAGGCTGTTTTGGGGATACCTCTTCTTGGGGTCTCTGCAGGCCCTGAGAAGCTTGCAGGTTCCTTGCAGCTCCCCCAGCGGGCTGGATTGCAGACTTTGTCAGGGGAGGAGCGAGAGACCCTTGCTCCTAATCCGAGGGAGTCTTGCACAAACCTTGCACCATGCTTCCGCCTCGGGCTTACGAAGGGGCTTTGCAGTCATCTTATCTTGGACGATCTTTGGAGCCCTTCCCTTGCCCGGGACGTCCTCGAGAAGCTTAGGCGGTGAGGAAGGTGCAACTTCACGGTTGGCTCCCGCTGAGCAGCAAAAGCCGACCTCGCTTTCTGATAACATGAGAGGTCATCTCTGTCAACCCCTGTGTATTACCGAGGAGAAATCTTACAACCACCGCCGTTCTTGAAATCCAAGTCTTCTGACTTCTAACTTGGGTCTCCTTTTCCCTTAAAACGAAGTCTTTGATGCACTTATCGACCTAACTGATGATATAATGCTAATAATTAACATTTAGTTATTGCCGACTTTTAAGTAACTATCATTACATCATAAACTAATTTATTATTAAAATGCATAATAAGAATAACTTAGCAAGTGCTTGCTTTTGTCCTAGTGAGATTGTTACCTTTTTCTCTTATCCTCACAGCCCTGTGAGGTAGGAGCCTGTTATTATTTCCATTTTTGTAGATGAGTGAAGTCTCAGAGATGTGAAGTGACTTGTTCAAAGGCTCCCAGATAGTAAATGCAGAACACAGAGAGGAACAGAACTTCATAGTCTTAGTTCCTAGCCACTATGCCATGCTGATCCTCAAATGAAAACTAGGAGGGCGAGAGATTTGTTGTTCCCCATCTCCAAATTTTAAAAATTGTAATAAAATATACAAAATTTACATTCTGAATTATTTTTGAGTGTACAGTTCACTAGTATTAAGTTCACTCACGTTGTTGTGCAAACATCACGACCATCCATCTCCAGAATGCCTTTTGTTTCAAAGCTGAAGCTGTACCTGTTTTTTTTTTTTTTTTTTCCCTGGTGGCTAGCTAGTACAGGGATTGAACCCTGTACGTTCGTGTTATCAGCACCACGCTCTAACTGACTGAGCTAACTGGCCAGACTGTGAAACTCTCTACCCCATTAAACACTAACTCCTCGTCTCTCCCCACTCCCTACCCCTGGCAATTACCATTCTACTTTCTGTCTCTATGAATTCGACTGTTCTAGGCACCTCATATAAGTGGAAGGAGAGATTTTTTGTTTTTATTCACAAGTTGAACACCACTACTTCTGTCCCCTTTACTATTTTTTTTTATCAGTTTGCACAGAGTCCTTTGAAGCCTTTTTTATTATTATTTTTTATTTATTTTTAAATTTTTTTCTAAAGATGACCGGTAAGGGGATCTCAACCCTTAGCTTGGTGTTGTCAGCACCACGCTCAGCCAGTGAGCAAACCGGCCATCCCTATATGGGATCCGAACCCGGGGCCTTGGTGTTATCAGCACCGCACTCTACCGAGTGAGCCACGGGCCGGCCCAATTGAAGCCTTTTCTCAACCTGTTTGTTAAACTGATGAAAGCATCTCTTCTATTTTTATTGGAGTAAAACTAATCTGCTTTCTACACAAACTGGGCTGAGAGACAACTGCTCTTCCCACCCCAAAACTCTGTAGCTATTGCTTCATTCG